GAAAATCAGGCTCTAAGATCCAAAAATCACCAGTGCAGTTTTGATGTTATCTGATGGCACTACCAGTACCATGGGAATATTCAATATCATGCTCTGGAATGAATGAGAAAGAGGTCACCGTCTGTTAACGGACACATATTGGCTTTGTTGTAGTGTAAATAAAAAAATAAGGCATCCATGGGACCACCTTGCAACTTTTTCATTGTTTTGTGTCTTAACTGTAGCTTTATTAACATGGATGCTTAAAGAAGAGTATTAAAGAAAATCTTTAGTTCAGCTGTATAATGTGAAGCTGATTTTAGCTTGGCTACATAGGAACAATCTCCTAAAATGTCAAATCTTGATTGCTATTTACCCAAGCTGGACCAGACTTTTATTTAAAGTGATAAATTTAAAGTAGGATACTCGATTGCTTTCACTTTGACCCTTCACTTTTCCTTGTGTCTGTTACAGCCATTAAAAAAAAAAAAAACTAAAAGCCCTGAAACTGAAAATACTAACCCTGCAGGCTGGTACAATAGATTCTTTTCTTCATAATGTTTTTCTCCCCTTTGCTGAAGAAACCACTTGTTTGCAATTTCTTGGTTTTTTTGGCTGATAACTTTTTACAAATGCTTTTACTTTTCCTGTTAGTTTATTTTGCTTTTTAGAGAGGTTCAATTGGAATCATGGCAAAAGAAGTACTGTTCTAGTTTGTTTTATTCACCATCCTATTCCCAGAATTGCATTGTTCAGTCCCACATGGGAAAGACCTGTCTCTCATACAAATTACTGGTCCCTTTCTGGGCCTTTGTAACCTTCCTGAAATTGTTGGAAAGATGCCTTTTCTCTGCAAAGGCAGAAGGAGGCATTGCACCAGACAGGCTGGCCCCAGAAATTTTGTGTCTTTTTAATATCTGATTTAAGCAGTGATTATTAGCCAAGGTTGTTCCCGCTACTACTTTGAATCCATTGGATCAGATCACAGCAGTATAAATGGTTATGAATCAAGACTTATACTAATTAAACTAAGAACAGCGTATTTCCCATAACTTTGATTACATCCAAAGTTTCCTTACCAATTCATTGTAAACTGATATATGGCATTCCTGTCTTGATCCATTAGCATATACCAAGGAGTCAGTACCAATTTAACTAAAAAATTTTCTAAACTGACACAGTTAAATTGGTGCAAAGTGTGTTTATAGACAAGATACTTGACTAGGTTTTCACAGAACCTTGGTAGATGTTTTTTGGAAGTGCTATTTTATTATTAAGAACATTGACCAGACTTAAAATGTCTAAAACTGGCAAACAGTGTATGAAGTAATAAATTATAAATTCAGTGAAAAGAAAATAACAAAGTTATAAGGCATGCCAGGTGGAAAAAGTGGGAAATAAACTTATGAAGGTATAGAACCTGTAGAAAAGCAAATGATCACATGCTTTTTTGATATTTACTTCTCTGTACATTTCCTTCTGTTTCATTCTTTTCAATGTTCAACAGTTTTGTTAGGAGAAATTTCAGATGATGTGTAGAAATTCACTATTATTTTCTATTTACTTGAAAAAAGCAGCTTGTGCCCCAAAGTTGTTATACTTGACTTCCACTGCCATTTGTTTGCCTTTTACCTAAATCTGTATGTAAACTCCTCAGGGCAGCAGCTGTTTTTTTTTTTTCCTTCAGGGTTGTGCAGATCTCAGCACATGGATTCTGAATGCTTGTTTGTAGTGCAGTAATAAAAATAGTAATGGGTACTGGGCAGAGAAATGTTTTAATTCCTCATACCACTTCCTGCTTTCTTTCTTTGAAACTCTAAAATAATATTGCATCAATTTGAAATACTTTTGACAGATCAATAATACTATGAAATCAGTGGCAAGCTTTAAACTACCTGTTTCATATAAAGCAGGATAGAATTTTTTAATTTAACCCTCTTCCCGACAGACATAGGCCCATGCATGCAGAAGATTATTATTTACCATCTGTTTTAGCCACAGTAGTTTCCACCAATTGTGTTGTTTTACTTTTTAGTGTTTAAGCATTACTTTGAAGCTGTTGCGCTAATTGTGAACTCGGGCTGAGTCTGTGCATAAATGACTCTAGCAATCTCAGCATGTTAAGATCATGACTGTTAGATTAATGTATGGAGGGTATTAGTTCTGTGCTGGTGTACTGCATTAGTAGCTATGTAACTTTAATCAAATGCACTGCTTCCTTTGTCTCTGAGCAATGGCTTGTACTAGAGGTCGTATGGACTGCTGAGAAAGGTGAAATAGCATCTTCATATTTTATCTGTGGCTTAAAAATAATAAGATAATGAAATCATTCTCCTCTTATCATGTATTTTATTATGGTTTGTGGATCGTTTCCAGAAAACCAGCTGTAGTTGTAGACTTTTAAGTTGGTCATGAAAGTACAATGGGTGTATACCAGGGATGTTGTGTTCAACAGTTGGAGTGATCAGCACAGGTACTGTACAAACCAACAGTGAACGTTAAACAAATCAGACATTAAAATTAAGGCATACATAGAGATCAACCAATAAAAAGAACTGTATTGCATATGTTAATGTCCTGCTTTCCCTCCCTTTTCCTTCACAGAACTTGAAGAAAGTGTTTGTGGAATTCAGTCACCAAGAGCTGTATGAGTTCTATAACAAGGTCTGTTGACTTTATGGTTACAATTTTGTAATATATTGTATTCACTTTTATTTCACACTTGTAAATTGTCTTATTAAATACGCTTGCATCCCTGTTTTCCTCTATTACTAGGAACTTGCTAGCACTAAACTTTCCTCGTAAACACCTTCTGCTTCTCAGTAGGAAGCATTGCCTATGTGAATCAAATCTGAAAGAAAAGGGAACCTGCTTTAATTAAAACCACTGGGTTTGTTAGAACTCATCGAAAGCATTTTGAAAAAGAGTATGTGTGTACAGTGTTCAGATACATTTGTATATTCTTCAGTGTACATTTGGACACTCTTAAAATGTACTTGGTAATGTAACAAGGGGGGCGGGGGCTAAGGACGAACAGTAAGGAACTCCTTGAATGTGTTTTGCTGTCATCCCAAATACTAGGCTCATAATCCAGTAAGAATGAATTCTATTATTTTTTTACCTTGATATTATGCATTGGAAATTCACAGCAAAACAGCTGTGCCTATTAAAAAAAGGAGTATTTAGACAACTGTTTCTTTAAAATCTGAATATTTAAACTGCTGCAATGAATTCTAATAGCTTCATGTAAAAACAAATATTCATGAGTGGTGGATTTTTTGTATTGCAACACGAATAGATTTAATATGTGTGGTTGCAGACAGAGTTATTTCTCTTCTGTTTGCATGTTTCTAAACAATATTTTATACAAATTCTTTTTTCCCTTTTTTGTTCCTTAAATAGCTGGAGACCATACAAGCACAGCTGGATTCCCTTACATGATGTTTTTGAAGACCTGTTTCTCCATTGCACTCCTGCCACCTCATTATTTTGAATTGAAGATAGATTGCCAAGCTGTGTTTGCTAAAGGATTCAATGGGTTGTTTCCTGTAAAATTATATAGCTTATCTCCTCTTGGACCAGTAACATTAGCCAAGGGAGCTCATTGTTAAGAGTTCTGGGGGTTCTAATTGACTTTCTCTTGTTTTCTAAGCCAACAGCATTTGTTAACAGTCCTACTTGAGAAGGAAAGACAATAGCATACTGTTTTACAGGATTTATGCCGCATCACCTGTGTTGTTTAATTCATTACATGTCTGATGATAATTTGCATACTACAGAGGGACCAGGGATAAAATCTGCACCCATGTTGTTGTTACAGAACTTTAGTAGTAACTGTAATAGTAAAAAAAATAAACATAACCAAGTTTCCATCCCTGTAAATTTGCCCCCCAAATGTCAAAACTTTATTACAGATTGCTCAAAATAAATGTATAAAAATAAATTGTTTTTGCTTGGACCATTTAATATTTTACTTTGTGATTTATAAAGAATAAAAATAATGTCCCTGATCTGCATGTTCACTCGTGACAGTGGGGATATATAGTGCTAAGCACTGTGGTTGTTTAAAAAAAAAAAAGAAGAAGAAGAAGAAGAATTATGGTGTACAACAAGGAGTATAGAAAGCGCACAGTAAATAAAGAGCCAGTCAGATAATCAGATCCGTGGAAGCTTTCATTTTTCATTCCTAATAGTATTCACTTTTATTAGTATAACTAAAGATAAGAAATCAATAATGTAAATTGTCTCAAAGTGTAAGTTAGTAAAGTTTTCACAGATTTATTCCAGATGAACTGAAATTGGTGAGTACTAGTTAGTGTGAGAAGTCTACCAGTCCTCTTAGTGCTTGTTTGTTGTCTGTCAATGACTCTACCTCAATAATGGGCATATTAAGTGAATTTTTCACTCCAGGCTAAGAAAGAAAATAAATAGAAAGTGAAAGGAAATAAATATTTAAGATGTTAACTTGCCTCTTTTTTACCTGAGGGATTCTCTGTACAAGGCTTTGCACTTTCATTTGCAGATCCTTCAAAGGACTTGGTTAACACGTCATTCTAGTGCAGACTTCAGGCAGGAAGTTTCTCTTGAATTCTCAGTTTCTCAATGACACAACTTAAGCATCACCAAACGCATATTTTGAGCAACTAGGATTTGGGTCGTTTATGCTTAATTTGTGACGCATGCTGAACATCACTGACTCAGTTTTAGGGAGGATATGGTCACTTATTCCATAATATTCAATAGGAGGAGTGGACCCTGAAGTAGCTGGAAGATTATTAAAATGATATTTAAAGATAGGAGCTCTCTCACATACAGTGACCACAGGGCACCAAAGAACACAAAACATAGGCCCCAACTACATCTGTGAGCAGACATATAGCTAAAAAATATATTGATTTGCAGCTGTATCACCATATATACAGCATATAGAATATGCTACCACCAATGCTCTGACTCCCTGCAACAATGGAGCAGAATTTCAGCATTGTACATCAGAAACATATTGAATCTATATTGGTTTGCTTAGGGTACAAGGTAGTTAAAATATGTAACTCTAAGAATGATACGGGATACCAGAACTGAATTGGTTAATTGACCAGTCTTTTTGCCTGAAGTACTATGCTAACCATAGCTAAATGTGAGGCTTAAAAACAAAGTTGTTACATCCAGTGCTGCTCAGTGAATTATTTCATAGCACTAAGGAGACTTCCACTTGCCTCACAATCACAGGTTTGATAACAGTGAAAAACAACAGAGAACTTCCAAGGTCCCTGGCAGATATTCACTTAATGGCACAATAGGATCCATTTCCAATCCCAACAGTTGTGCCTCCTGCCGTGCCACACGTGCACTGGAACTGCAGATAAAATTTGCTAGATCCCAGTTGTGTGCAAGAAGCCTAGCATTGGAGACTGGTCCCTGCTGACTCGCTTTCCATGGTGTGTGTGGAGCCCTTAACAGCCCTGCACAGGCTGCCCCATACATGGATTGAGAGGTGTCAGGCAGGAAAAACCCCTGCCCACAGGTGCATGCGGCAGCCCTGCAGGGGCTGTCCTGCATATGGGGTCAGAGGTGCTGGGCTGGGGCTACCTTACATGTGGGTTGACAGGTGCTGGGTTTGTAACATTGGCTTTCTCCACCCAGCCCTGTCAGCGTAGGTGGCAGAAGGCCAAGGCTAATGGGGCTTAGCCCCCCAAACTAATATCACAGCAGCCAGCAACAGCAGCAGCACCATGGTGCCGCCATCCTGCAGCACCTGGCGCCGCTCAGCATGCAGCCCAGCCAGCGCCCCACATGCTCAGCTCTGCGCGGCTCCACTGCCACGTCCTACCACCGTGACCAGTGCCCCTGCCGCATGCTCCTCTGCTGTCACATACAGCACCAGTAAGCACCAGCCCTGCAACAGCCCTGTGGGAGGTAGGGGCAGGGGTCAGCCCCCCTAAATAATATTTTCTTCCACCGCCTGTGCCTGTCGGTCACATGCAAAGGCTACCTGGCCACCTGACTTTAAACTCATCAAGTGGGGGATTGCCTTGAAGTCCAGTGGTGCAACCTGGACTGGGCTTTAACATGCCACACATGCAAATTTCTGCTCAATCTCATGAATGCAACTATGAAACTATTAAAACTATGAAATTCAGGAGATATATCACTTGGGTCTGTTGGATCCAGTTTTTATCAGCATTAGAGAGACTTTACAGACCATATTCAGCATCAGATACCTGAGGGATAAGAAGTAGCATTACATTTCAGTCCTGGGTTCTAAACAGTCTACAATTCAGAAAGGCTCTGAGACCATCCAGTGAAAAGCCTTGAAATGGATGCTGCTTGAAAGGATGAACTCTATCTGTGAGAGAGAGAGATTTTCTCAGATCTGAGTGCTGGCTAAAGAGTTCTTGATTAGTGTCATGGTGAAGAGGGGACTTACTGCTACTGTGGGGGGAGGCAGCAGAATTAGAAAGCTCCAGAGCACCAGGTGCCCAACAGTGGGCTGATCGGTAGGTATTGAGACTGCTGAGGAAGCCAGTGAAAAACATCTGTGGCCTGCTCAAAGGATCATAAATCAAGGAGACCAGAAAGGAGGAGGAGGAGTCGAGGGACACATACACCTGGAATGGAGTCTCAGACTAGCCTTGGCTAGGCTGAGGGAAGAAGTGCCATAGACCCTAAAGAGAAGGAAGCTCTGCAGGGAAAAGCTCAGAGGCTAAGTAATTAAAGTTTTATGTTCATTTATGTTTCTGTTTAGACTGTGAGGCATGAGAGTGGCTGAAAAGAAGGCAGGAGGCCACTGAAGAAGCCCAGAGAAGAAGGGAGCATGGATTGCACTCTGGCATTGATGGCTCCCAGCACGGTGAACTGAAGGGAAGGGCAAGCCCCAGATAATTGTGCCAAGGGCAAACCAGCCCAGAGAACTGTGCTGAAGAGTGAACAAGCCCCAGAAAGTCTGTGTAGAGGACATGAGAGCACAGAGAAACTGCAGAGCAGACCAAGATGCACCTGAAGAACTCACCATGGTGGACTGAGGGCCACCTCCTGAATTTACATTGTTTTCCATCAAAGATGTGGCAGAGAAGGAAAGGGGACATCGTAACAGCCAGACTGGGAAAGATCAGAGATTAATGCTGCCACTGGGGGGGCATCACAGCCACCTTCAGAGGTGAGTCCTACTAAAATCAGAAAAGGCTCTGCTACGAAACTGAGCAGAAAGATCAGACTACTTTGGATCTAAAATTACTGGAAAAAAGCAGTAAGCATAAGGATCTGATATCCTAATCTGCTAAGAAAGATTTCATTTATTCAGATCCCAGTTCTGGTTGTTGGACTGGCTTGTTAGCAGCCAAGTATGATAGGTTAATCTACCACATGAATCTACATCTTCGTGTCTCTGATCTGGTGCGGTTGGATAGAAACAAATAAAGAAGAGGAATGGCCCTATTCACACACAGTGACAGCCTACTGCTGCAAAAGAATGGAAGACCCACTGATTTCTCTCATTTCTTTCTCCACTCAAGACCACTTCAGGATCTCACTATATTAAAAGGTGACTCTTTCTATCTTACAGCTGAGGCCAATAACATATCCTTCATTGTCATGATTGGAACTGAGGTCAGATCTACAATTAGACTCCCAACATGAATAAAACCCCACACCATAAGGTGCAAAGTACTTCCTGAAGAGAGGATATTTATTTTGCATTCCACCAGACAAAACTTAAGAGCCTGTATGCCCTTTCCGTACAGGGAAAACTTCATTCCCAGTACTTGTAAGAGATTCTAGCCATCAGCTCCAAAGATCTCCAAAGAGATCAATCCCTTACAATCATGCTTGATGCACTTTAAGAAAAAGAAGGAACTGTGTTAGCTCAAAAAGATCTCAAAAGAGATCTTGAATCCAAGATTCCAAGATGAATGTGTGCTTCTTTCGTAGTCGGCTGCTTCCAACAGATTTGTCCCCAAAATAAACCATTTTATCTCAGGACAAAGTGCAGCCATGTGGACATCCATACCCATTAGCCTGGGATAAATCCTAAAAAGCAATCCTGAATAAGGGGTAGTAACAGTTTTATCCTGGGATATTGAAAAGTATGGCTGTCCAGTTATCCTGGGATTGCATCATTGAATTAATGGCAAAAAAGCAGCACTACAATCCTGGGAAAATTTTATTCTGGGACAAAAACAAGCACAGCTTATCCACAGACAAAGCAATGCCTGTTCCTAGCCTTTGAGAGACGGCTTTCTTTCACAATGGCACTAATTCTAGGAATTCTCTCCATAGTTACTGATAAGACTTATCATCTGACCCCCCCATTTGCCATTTTGTTCATCCTTTACAAGATTTATGCTTCCTTTTCCACATGTAGTTTCTTTTCCCATAAAAAGCAATTTTCTCTTCATTTTCATTGGCATGGACAATGTCAGAAATGGCTGATGAGCAGCTTCATAGGAAGGTTTTCCCATGGTATGTACATATTTGGTCCCAAACCCTTGCATAAGACAGAGGTTGACAGGAAGCAAGTCTGTGCAACTTCAGACAGAAAGACAAGAAAGTGGATGTCTTGAATACAAAGTCCCTTTTATCTCCTCCTTTAGGATTGTAAAATACCAAGTGGGAGTGGTACATACTAGTACCCTGTTGGGTAGCAGTATTGTCACTTAAGTAGCTACAGTAATATCTCTTTGGGATTAAACAAGCTGAATTCTTCAGGACTTCTGCCAGATGCAAGAATGAAAGTGAAACATTCCATTTGAAGTGGGAGGTTTATCCAGTTCCAAGACAAATGAGGTTCTTGAAAAGTTGGTAAACACGCTCAGAGATCTGGCATTGTAGTATTTCAGCTACCCCAAATAAGATCTTATGTACCATATTACCCAAATCTAAGATGGGGTCTGTCTCCCCCAATCAGCATGTGGGGGGAAAGCCCCTTATCTTTGATTTGCCATA